AGGTCAGTGACAGACCTAGTCTCCAATGCGGCTGGGGAGATGGTTCAGTCATTTAAGTGTTTGCCATGAAAGAGTGAAAACCTGAGTTTCATCTCCAGCACCCACAACAAAAGCAAGGCATAGCAGTGCATGTCTGTAATTCCCATGCTGGGACAGAGGGACTCCTGAGGCATGTTGGCCACACAGTCTTACTAAATGGGTGAGTTTCTGGCAAGAGACTTTGTCTCAAACAAATGAAATGGAAAGTCCGGAGAGAGGGCTTAAAAGTTAAAGAGTTCTTGTTCCCAGCACCCACACGACAGCTTAAACCATCTGTAACTTCAGTGCCGGAGGATCTGGCTTCTGCCTTCATCTGGCTTCTGCAGACACATGGTACACAGACACCATGGTACACATGTAGGCAAAACACCTACACACATAAAAATAAATATTTTTAAATTGAGGTGAAGAGTAACTGGGGAAGATGCCTAATGTTGATCTCTGGTCACAACAAACATGCACAAATACACAAAAGCACAAAAGTGGATACCCGAGGAAAAAAAAGGTACCCGAGGAAGCATACCCGAGGTGGTCTTCTGACCTTCATTCATATGCATATGTGAATTCACATACACAAACACAAGAACATACACACGTGCAAATACATATCCAAAACGGTATGCTTCAATTTATCCACCCTTTTACTTATACTTTTAAAAGTCTACAATAATATAAATGTTTTCAATTCTACTGGCATTTTTTCTCTAGCTGAGTTTATATTTTTAAATTGAAAATACTTCAGAAATTTCCACTAATAAATGCATTTCTTACAATATTTCTCAGATGTAAAAGAGAGGTCTGAGCAGACAGGCCTCTGCTATGGTAGTGCACACCTATTTAACAACTACTTTCAACAGGCCAGAAATCCTTGTCAAGTGCTGAATGGCTCTCATGGCATTTGTTTTGAAGCCAGCTGTCACCATCAAACAGATGATGATACATTTCCACAAGACTCATTTCAGAGTCTAGTAAGTACCCAATCTAACTAGTAATCAAAAACAACTAGGTTTTACTATAAGATAATGATCTTCACAATTCTAAGAAATATGTTTGCATTAGTGATACTATCAGACCACTCAGCTATTCAGTTCAATAATTTGTCACTAGAGACATGAAACCCAGTTTAAGACCCAGAAGGAGCCAGGAAGTGATGGCGCACGCCTTTAATCCCAGCACTCAGGAGGCAGAGGCAGGTGGATCTCTGTGAGTTTGAGGGCAGCGTGGTCCACAAGAGCTAGTTCCAGAACAGGCTCCAAAGCTACAGAGAAACCCTGTCTCAAAAAACCATAAAAGAGAGAGACTCAGAAGGGCAGGTACAGTCGTAGAAATATATCGATAACTATCTATAAATGATTAAATGAAGCTACAGGATAGTTCAGATAGTAAAAATACCTGCTGCCAAGTATGACGACCTGAATTCAGTCCCCCAAACCCACAATGGTGGAGGGATTAAACTAACATCCACAACTTGTCCTATGACTCTCATAGGTATGCTATCATATATGGTCCTCCCTGTGGTGATATCTTGTTTGTACTCTAACAAATAAAGCGTTCCTGAAGACCAGAGGGCAGAACTAGCCACTAGTTAGCCAGAGGTCTGAGGTCTATACAGATAGACAGGAAGTGATATGGCCGGGAGGGGAGAGGGATATAAGCGGGAGAAGACAGGAGTGAGCTCCCTTTCAGCTGAGGAGTTAGCAAGGTAAGAGCTGGCTGTGGCTTGCTCCTTTATCTTTCTGATTTTTCAGCATTTATCTGGATATCTGGTTCTGGGTTTTTATTATTAAGATCAATTAGAACTCATGCAACCCCCCCAATAAATAAGTAAATAAGTAAATAAATAAATAAATAGATAAATAAATAAATAAATAAATAGATGTAAAGAATTTCTTAAAAGTTAAATGTAGCTTATATCATGTACAATAGAAAAGAAACTAGTTTTACAAATATTATAAACCTATTTCTAAGTCAGGAAAAGATAAGATAAATACCGAAGATCCCAATGTCAAAGTTGCCAACAAAGGTCAGAAGTACAATTTAAAAGAAAATAAAATCAGATTACAAAAGATTCTCATATCAATGGGAAACTATATTATATGACATTATAATGCCCTGAATTTTCTGAATTTATACATGTTTGTACAAACCATTGACTGTTTCAGCTGAGAACCAGTTGTTACCTGAGACTTTCATGCTAGCTTCCATTAGCTAAAATAGCAAGCAACGGGTGGCTAGAATTTTGTGGATTCATCCTCTGAGATACCTATTTTTCCACCCTTGAAGTCAGGAAAAAGGATAATTATTTCTATGTTTTATTTGTGTTTTACATATATAATCTTTTTAAAAAATATTTTATTATGTATACAATATTCTGTCTGTGTGTATGCCTGCAGGCCAGAAGAGGGCACCAGACCCCATTACAGATGGTTGTGAGCCACCATGTGGTTGCTGGGAATTGAACTCAGGACCTGTAAAAGAGCAGGCAATGCTCTTAACCTCTGAGCCATCTCTCCAGCCCTACATGTATAGTCTTTTAAAATCAAGAACTAAAAATAAATTACTTGAAAATAGGTAGTCCAAGTATTTAAATATACAACTGTAATTACTGCTCTGATGATAGTGTACTTAATAAATGCACCAGAAAATCAGCTAAAACAGAATAAAATATTCTAAAATACTACTTTGATAACTATTCCAAAAAAAAAATCATAAGATTACTACTAACCCCTAAGATGACTAGTTAGTAGAGGACTACAGTCCTTGAGTGTGCAGGCAGAGGTGAGAATAAAATTCCATGCATTCATTCATTAATGAAATAGAATTAAGTCACTAAAATGTTCATTTAATGCTGCTGTTTACCCAGCAGGCTTCTGCTATCAAAGGCACAAAAGTCAGACCTGAAAGGCTACAGAAGTTATACAGAAGTAAGATACTTCCAGATCAGTGGTAAGAACAGGGACACTGCTTCAAGAGAAATCTCAGACTCTAAGAAATGGAACCATTTTGTACTCTTCTTTGAGAGGACCAGTGAGCACAGAGGCTCATTTTCTACCCAGATGTGTTGGTTCGGTGATGAAATAGCAGCATGAACAAAGAACTTATCTCAGGGACTGGCAGATCATTGGTAAATGTACCTTGTTGGAAAAGTAAGCTCTACAGTTGGTAAACCACATTTCAAGTAATGGGTCACATGTTTAAGGAGTAAATAAAGTTTCCGTTCACGGAGGTGGAATATATCCTAAGTGAGGCGCACTCCACATTAGCTGGAAAGAAGTTGCAGGTGGAAGGTACTAACAAAGTCAGAGAGAGGAGGACAGGGGCTGGGAGGAATGTTCAGTCAGTCAAGTGGCTGCAGTGTGAGCATGAGGGTCTGCACTCCATCCCAGAACTAGGTTAAAAACAAAGCTGGGAGGAATGGGTGGCACATGCTTATAACCCTAGCTAGGGAGTCAGACAGTTGATTGCTAAGGTTCACTAATAGTACCCTAATAAAACAGGTACTCCTAAGAAGAGATGACATTGTCGTCTCTTTAATCATTTTGTCATTAAATGACTATAAAGCTATAAAGGGACTCTATGAGGTACCTACTATAATATATCTGCCTTGAACCGGGCATTTTTTTTTTTTTTTTACCATCTTTCGCCTTAATTTCCAACAACAGCAGCTTCTCAGCAGGGGAGTTAGCCCATCAGATTCCCACTACTACATCACTGAACTCTGTTTACCTGGTATCCCGTCTAGCTTTATGTCAAATGACACAAGCTGGGGTCATTTGGGAAGAGGGACCCTCAGTAGAAAAAATGTCTGATTTGCCTGTAGGCAAGCCTGTGGTGAATTTTTTAAAAAATTTCTATTCATTTTGCATTTTGTATTTGTTTTACTTTCTTTCTTTTTGTTTTTAGTGGATTTTCCTAATTACTGATTGATGTGGAAGTGCCCAGGCTACTACGGACGGTATCACCCTTGAGCAGGTGGTTCTGAGGATCTATAAGAAAGCACGTGGAGCAAGCCAATAGGAAACACTCCTTCATAGCCTCTGCATCAGGTCCCACTCCAGGTTCTTGTCCTGTTTGGGTTTCTGGCCTGACTTCCCTCACTGATAGACTGTGACATAAACTGAAATAAACGCTTTTTTATCCAAGCTGCCTTTAATTATGGTGTTTTATTGTAGCAATAAAAACCTAATCTAAGACACCTAGATACTATTTATTATTCTCACATACACAAGGTGCAGGGTGTTATAAAAATTAAATGTTTTAGTATCTGTGCTAGGTAGATCTAAATCTTAAAGCCACATTTTCAAAATGGAAACTAAGATTACAGTTTTTATTTACTAAAACTGTTCCTTTCATTTACAGTCCTGTCTTTGCTTATTCTTTCTAATAAAGAGTCATAAACACACATAACAAAGACCTAATCGAGAAGCAGATGCATATAAAACAAACGCCATGAACAGCAATGGCAGAACTTTTCAAGTTATCACAAGACTGAGCAGGGCAATCTGACAGTGGAGTGCTACCACATCTATACTGCTCAAATATGCTATTACATATTTATAACCTTAAATGCTATTTGAATAAAAAAATGAAAGAAAAATAAACTATTTTTCTAACTGACAAACATCTGTGTTCTCTCATTCACCTCCAAAGCTGGGGTTTTACACTGTCATGTAGAAAACAGACATATTGCATGTTATATCAGTCACATGTTTTGTTAGCCTTTTTACTACATAAATATCTATGAATCATTCTTAAACTATTACTTCAGAGATCTCAGTGTTAACATGAGCCAACCCTTGCACAGTTATATTTGAGTCACCATGTCCGTCTAAGAACTAATACTTGATGGAATAGTTTTGAAAGCCCATGAGCAGTCAGTGTGCACAGCTCACCTTAACCTACACTGATTTTACCTTGTGTTTACCCAGCAGCATTGCTAGTAGCTACATAAAATTGCAGACCTGTTTCTCAGCACTGGTCCTGGCTGATTCCTCTTGTGCCAGCACCATTTCACGTTCTGCAGTTATCTGTACACTTTCTCTCAGTGCTTCTTCCAGCTCTTCAATCCTGTCATCCTTCTTACGGAGACTGTCCTGGAAAACGATGAAGACTTGGTGAAGGAGGTCAATCAGAACTCAGCAAGTGCCTACTCATCAAGAAGGAGATATTTAATTATTAACATCCTTCTCTTCAGAAGCAAATTGAGGCCAGAAAGATGCCTCCATAGGGTAAAGAACTGAACAAGGGAAGAAGAGAAGTAAAGGAAGATGAGGTCTATTATTAAGAGCATAGGATCAAGTTAGTGAAGCAAGACAGACATGATAGATTTGCTCTCTGCAACAGAGAGAAGGAAGCTACTAGTGTTAGATGGCATAAGTAGTGAGAGGCTAACTATTTAAAAATATAAAACTATTTTTAAAAGCTACTACGAAACTGAGTTGAAAGTCAGTTCTGATGGAGCTTCTACTAAGAGTCAGTTCCACAACGCTCATTCCCTTTGAGAAGTCACACCTGCATGACAAACTCAATTATATAGACAATTTCTGATAAACTTTTTTAAAAAGATGCTTTCTAACATTTCAAGGAAGTGAAACTCTATTCTCATGAAAAAATGGAAAACAACTGTGTGTGTATGACTAGTTTGACTATGAATGAACAATTTAGTTAAGCAAGTAATATGCTCTAGGATTTTAAAGTGTAACTTCCCATCCATACAACCAGTCTTTAGGATCCCAAAGTGGTAGGAAAGAAAAAGAAAAAGCTAAGAAGATTGGAACCAGAGATGCTTCAGACTATTTTCAAACTCTTAAAAAAAAGTCAGTGGATTCAAAACACAGTATTGCCTTTTATTAAAGTATGAAAATGAGTAGCAAGATTGTTGATATGAAGAATAAAAGCAAGCGCTTAACTCCTAGTATATGTCAACCCAAAATGAACTAAAGAACTGAAGCTAGAAACAGGTGTAGTAACTTCCACCTAAACAGCACCACAAGGCTAAGGCAGATGGGTCTCCATGAATTCAAGGCCATCTTGAACTACAATGGAAAATGGTGTCGCAAAAAAGATGAGGTAAGAGGGGAAAAGAACAAAACAAAACTAAGAAACTACTTGGGGAAGGGGACTAAAAATCTACCGGAGGTGGCTTCATGATATTGGGTTGGAAAAAGAATTTTTGCTTTTGGGCTTTTTTTTTTTTTTTTTTTTTTTAAATAAAACTTCAAAAGCTTTGGCAACAGAAGCAAAATCAGCCAGACAGGATTATCTCAGACAATAACAATCTCTGAATTATAGCAAATAATCAAAAGAGCAAAGTAACTCTTAAAAAAGAGAAAAAATTTTCAATGATAATCTGACAAACGCTAATATCCAAAAATACCTATGAACTAAACGGCAAGAAAACAATACAGCTCATTAAAAAAAGGCAAAAGAGATGCATAGATACCTTTAAAAAACATAAAAATGGCACACAATTTTGGGGGGAAGATCCTCAACATCACTAATCATTGGAGTAATATAATTAGAAACTACAAAGAGATAACTTGCTCCTTTTAAATCACTATAAGAAAGATAAGAAGTGAGTACTCATAAGGATATAAAAAGGGACATTGTCTCTTATACATATGGCAAACAGATGGCGATTCTTTATAACATTAAAAATTGAACTACTATATGACTCAGCAACTCTACTCCTGTATATTTACATGAAAGGAAATTGGTGGACTGGAGAAACATCTATTAGACATGCTTAACTATGGAACCACATAATAGCATATGACTAAACAATAGTCAAGAGACAGGATCAACGTGTCAATCAACAGAGGAATGCTACCTTCATGCCAAGGGAATGACTCAACTAATAAAGCTAAGACAACCTGAGTTCAATTCCCTATAACTCACATAAAGGTAGAAAGAAAGAGCTAGATCCACAAAGTTGTCTGCTGACTTCCATACAGGCTCTCCTGATCATACATACATGGACAACAACAACAAAAATAATTTTAAAGTTAAAAAAGTTTTCCATGGCAGCCTAACTCAAATAGCATGGCTTCCTATTTTCTTCTTCTCTGCCTCCCTAGTACAGACAGTGGCAAGTATCTTTTAAAAAGTCTTTTAAAATTGTCTTTAAGTTCAATTTTTTCCTTATAAAAAAAGAAAATGTGGTAATACTATCAAACCACACACACAGAGAGAGAGAGAGAGAGAGAGAGAGAGAGAGAGAGAGAGAGAGAAGAGAAATTCCTTTATTTTCCATAATGAACATGACCACAGAGGACATTGGGTTAACTGAAATGGGCTACGCACAAAAAGGTAAACTGAATATAGGGTATCTTAAAAGTTGACTTCACAGAAATAGAGTATATGATAGCAGTTATATGAGAGATATATTTTTGCCTTGTCTTGTTTTAATCTAAGGTAGTTAACTTAGCATGGATTCTTATTTCCTGAACCTTGCCCCTCCTCTATGGGTGGTTAGCTAATTGTATCAGATTGTGAAGTCAAGCACCCACCAACGGGATGAGTTGCAGTCACCACGCACAATCAGGGATAAAAGACAGAAGGTAGTCTGTGTTGCCAGCCCAGATTGGGTTCTTGGGTAGCCATTTTGTAAAAGTATATTTTTGCTATAATACATTTGTAGTGATATTTTGTTTGTGTTTTAACAAATAAAAAGCTTGCCTGAAGATCTGAGTGCAGAGCTAAGCCACTAGAACTAGATAGAGGTCAGGGAGCAGGGTCACACACCTAAATTCCAGGAGATAAAGGAAACTCTGTGAGTTCAAGGTCACCATGGGCTACACAAGATTGAACCTGTCTAAAAGAGAAACAGCTAACACAAATGTGATTCCACCGGGTCTGAAAAAGCATGGGATAAAACCGGACTCGCTGAACATAGCAGACAATGAGGACTACTGAGAACTCAAGAACAATGGCAATGGGTTTTTGATCCTACTGCACGAACTGGCTTTGTGGGAGCCTAGGCAGTTTAGATGCTCACCTTACTAGACCTGGATGGAGGTGGGTGGTCCTTGGACTTCCCACAGGGCAGGGAACCCTGATTGCTCTTTGAGCTGAGGAGGGAGGGGGACTTGATGGGGAAGGGGGAGGGAAATGAGAGGCGGTGGCGGGGAAGAGGCAGAAATCTTTAATAAATAATTAATTAATTAAAAAATGTGATTCCAACACTTGGGATCCCATAACTTGAATATCTCAGCACTAGGGCAGTGTAAACTGGAGTAATATGGCTGGGCAAGGGGGAATATAAAGCAGGAGACAGGAACTCAGTGCAGTCCAAGGAATGCCCCTGCAGTGTGAGGACAGGATCACCCTTCTGTCTGAGCAGTGGTGGATGTAAAAGGTCACTCTAGCGACTGCTTGCACTGCTTCTCTGATCCTTCAGCTTTCACCCCCTAATATCTGACTCCAGGTTTTATTTATTCAGACCAATTAGAATTCGCGCTATATACATTTGCGTTTTGTGTTCCTTTGGGAGACACCAAGACCATTCATTAATTATTGCTAAGAAGCTTGTCTGGGATTTCAAACCCAACTAAAGTGTTCAGATCTCCGCCCTGAAGAGAAACTTGTCTTTCTCCTCATTGCAGTGACACCCAGGGTGTTGCAGGAGGTCCTTCTGCTCCTCCAGCCAATAGCCGCTGAGATACCAACCCACTGGGGCGTGGTCTCTCTTTAAAAAAGCGGCCACTTCCCTCCTCACCCTCTTTTTGCTTCCTGCTCCATTTCTGGCGACTAGACTCCTTCCTGATTACGCAGAGGGCTGTTGTCTGGGACGGTGATCTGTAAGTTTTTTCCCCTTTAAATAAATACCACCCTATTAATCATAATTCCAAACTGGTGTGGGATTGTTTGTGACTTATGCCTTCACCAGGGTTCCTGGTGAAACACTTTTTTTGGATCAGCAATGATAGAAAGTTTCAATGATGGAAAGGCCTAAATAAGTAAATACCACTTTATTATTTTTCTATTTTTTATTTTTTTATTTTTGCCCTACCAAGTCCTGGGTACCCTTGCTTTGTCTCTACTTTTGCCATACAATGACACAGACAGACTAAGGAAAAGAACAGGCTGGTGCCATCTCCTTCCAGGTTCTTTTAGGTTTTATTGTTTTATAGGCTCTGTATTTTTTAGATTACAAGACTACTATGTGGTAAAGTACAATGTGTCTTTTCTAACATGGGTGCCTAACAGCTTTACAAAGAGAAACTCACCCTGAGAACTACAATGTTTGCCCCCCATCTAAACTGAGAAGTGTAATATGGATTTTTAAATTATAAGTTTGAGGGAAAGGTCAAAAAGATCACTTAAAGGGAACTGTGAAGCTTCAAATCACAAATAAGCAGAAAGCTCCATGTATTATATTATCCTAAAACTTGATTTCTTATTAGGAGGGGAGTCCTTATTAAGTTTTTTAGGCTAATTGTCTCCATTTGCAGGCCTACCCAAACTAATTATGGGTATAAGCTTCCAAGCAGTTGATCATACTAAATCTAGCCAAATCTAGCCAGGAAGGATCTCAGGTTAGACAATGGTAAGGGTGGATACTCTATTAGTTTTATCTTCCTTCATCATTGATGCTAAATGTCACTCACCCATGGTCCTATAAAATTTAAGGTATCTATTGTGATTATCAACGTGACTAAAACTGGAATCCTAAAACACAAGTAGTTGGACATGCCTGTAAAGGATTTTCTTGAGTGACCATTTGAGTGGGAAAACCCACCTTAAGACTAGGCCACACCTTCATAAAGAAGGAAGCTTTGCTTTTTGCTTGCTTGCCTTACTCTCATGCAAGTTCATCAACCCTATTGTTGAGGCATTCCCTTGTTGGTACCAGAACCTACTTCTTCAGGATTCTAATGTAGACTGAAGACCAGCTGAGATATCTGCTTCATGGACTGAACAACTCTGGACTCAAGAGATACCAGACCATAGCTTGCCTGTAAGCCACGCTAATCAATCCCATGGGTCTGTTACATCTTACTATAACCTGAGTCAGAAGTCATACATCATCTCTTCTGACTTCCTCTACTATTCACACAGCACAACCCTGGTACCAACCCTGACATGAACTACA